GCTTTATGAGCATCTTCATGTGATGTCATTAAACTCAGCATTTTATGTGTCTAGAAACTAGAAGGTTTAAAGTAATAATGTTGTGGAGGAATTGTGTTACAAATAAGCGAACAGATTTCTGTATCCTGCTCCACATCGAGGCTTAGTGTTTATGAGTGCATATTGTTACCTATTAGAGGAATTGTAACACTGGGAACATTAGAAAATATTGAAAACTAAGCAGAAGTTGTTTAGCAAGCTGAAAACTGGCGTACTATCCATGATGTGATAATATGTACTGAATTATTGATCTATTAACGCAGGTATTTGAAAAAAGAACACCTCTGGTGCAGAACTACAGTGCAATCGTTCCTCAATAAAAATGATCTGGAGAACGTGATCAGAATCTGCAGCAGAGACGGTCGACGCTTAAGCAAGACGGATAACTATGCAGGGAACTTGTGCATCAGCAACTCAGAAATGCTGATATATGAAGTCATATCCACAAAAAGCAACAAGGATTGTAAAATTACAGTTGGTGCAAAGAAAAGGGTTGTGATTGTGGCATGCAACAAGGTTGGAAACCAATGTCTCCCTGTTCATTTTCAGAAATATGAACAGCAGAGAGCAAGCAATATACCCTGCAGTCCTGCAAGGAATTTCAGTATTGTGGTAGAATAGCTTTCCACAGTCAGACCAATGATTCTGTGACAAACTTTGCTTGTTGCTATACTGATTATTAAAATTTCATGATGAGTTAAGATACATTTCTAAATTCAGTGACTTTGGATGGTGTTAGTGCTAATTATGAATTTAGTTTTCTTTTTGGTCCATTATTGAAATAATAATCACACAGATTTCAATAACAAATGCTGATTCCACATTTCTAATATTTAATCTATGAAAGAAACATCTGATTGATGAGCACTTCTAACTAGCTGTCTAATATTTGGATTTTGGAGCTACTTGGTTTGTACTTGTGTTTTTGACTGTATGACCACTCCCACTTGTAAGAAAAACTGAGGGATTTTTTTATTTGTATCCTCGAAACAGAATTGTGTAACTTTGAGTTCCCTTTCTTCCTGTTTATTAAAGAAAGAAGTGTAACAGGAAACGGTATATTTGCTGTTAGACGTACGCATGCAAATGTTTGTGGTCACTATGTCCTCAGCCAATTTATTTTTAATTTGTACACTGTTGATTTTGGTTTGTGAAAATTGAAACATATACATGAGGTGTATTTAAGTTTCAGCGTTTGTCAGTTAAATAAGTTAGCACAACCAGACGAGACCAGGCCTTGGCTCATATGTTTTGAGGCTGGGGATTTGACATTACTGTGAATCAGTTTCTGTTTTAAAGGCTGTTTCTTGCTATAGCTACTCTGACCGTCCTCTGAACTTCCTTTTTTTTTTTTTATTAAACTTTAGGCACGTATTCTTCTCTTGGTAAAATGTTCATCAGCTCTTCTGACTCTCCAGCTTTTATTTCAATTAAATATAAAACCCTCATTACCATTACATTACCAGGAACTTCTGATATCCTTACAGTTCCACAAATAAACATATCAGAAACTTGTGTAATCTGGTGTGGTGCAGTGTTGTTTTTTCTGTCCACTAATGCTCATTAAAAGCTATGGTTATCTTTGAATGCAAAAAGGAAGGAAAATGCAGTTAAAATGTTTGTCGTATTTTTGCACAAGACACAGTAGCAGTGAGATGAGATCAGTATCATATTCTTAACTGGCTGACTAAACATAAAATACAGAAGTATATTCAACACATAGAGGAAGTGTTACTTTTAAGTTAACCCTACCATCTTACATTTTTACAAGGGAAATGGTTGATGAAACATACACACACAAAAGCTTTAAAACCTTAAAACCACATTAAAAAACCTTCCAGTCAAGCAAACAAGCAACCGGTCAAGCTGTAACTTACAGCCATATTTGCCCATAATCACAAAACCCTGCTTTAGTGTCAATAAGTACTTGACAAAAAGCTTTGAGTCAAAAAAGTTTTATGTTATTGAACATTTGTGTGAACTATCAAAGTCAGAATCACAATCAGAATACTTTAATCATGTGGGTTACAGTTGCTCCAAGGAATAACAGCATAGCTGGACTGGCCATCGGGCATACCGGGCATTTGCCCGGTGGCCGCTGGCGATTTTTTGTTTTTATGGGCCGATGGATTTTTTTTTTTTTTTTTTTTTTTTTAGGAAGGGTGTATATAATGACAGGTGTTGGATTGGCCAATTGGTCATGATCGACTCTGGGCTGGACCAATTACAGCCGAGGAGGCTGGATGCACCCTCCCCCTTGTTTAGCAATCACGTGATTTTCGCGCATTGCATGCCGGGAACTCGTGGCAAAACAATCCAAGTACCGCATCAAATGCAAGCATTTGCAGCACCGCAAAACGTTCATTCTCCGGTTCCAATACCACCTTGTTTTTTCTTTGCCGCACAAAAAAGGAATGTACAAAACAAAAGGAGAACAATGCCGGTCCGTACAAAGACAGACTCAACGAAAAGACAAAGAAAAATACGAGGAAAAAATCAAACCAGTGAAAGGGTCAGACCCTTACGAGCACACAGAGTGGACAAAAGACGTCAGCGTGCTGCCCAACTTTCACCACGCTCATATTTATAATTATACGGTTCTTGGAGTGAGTGCATACACTCATGAAGTTTAGTAACTTCAGGTCACTGCAATAAGCCCAGGTACAGTTTACTGACAGATGGGTGCAGGACCTTGAAATGCACCGTGTAGAACGAAAGACCATCGTACGAACAAAGGTAAGTTTACCAGTCTCACAAATCGTCGTCATAGATACACATTCGTTAACCGTTTATTAATATAACCTTTGAGCTCAACGGTAATTAATTAGTAGTGGAAATAATTTCTGGTAGCATTACAGAAATGTAGCAATGACAATAATATTGTATGTTGTAATGGCACTGGGCAATTAGTGATACAAAACAACTGTTTTACCCTGTGAATAAAAGTATATGTTTTTGTCAATGTACCATGGCAATAATAGAAGCGAAACGCAATATTGTGTCAGGACAATTCACTATTTATGCACAATAAACACAATAAATTAAGGAGCATAGCGCGACAATTTCTGTTCAGCGCCAGACTTGCTTGTAACCTATATCACCAATTATGTTAAGAAAAATGACGTATTAACTACAAAACTCTGACCTTTGTGGGAATGCTTGGAGCAGACTAACCTGTGTTAGTGTTCTGAGACGTTATATTTGGTATATCCAGACCATCTGTCGGCTCTTACTTCGGAAACATGGCTTAAAAAATTTCTCTTCAACAACGTAATCCGATAAAAAAACAAAAAACGATCTCTTTACCCGTCGGCTTCCCGTGGCTGTCATGCGACCAGCTATTGCAGTTAATAATACAACAGCTTCTTGGCATTTTTTGGGTTTCTTTTTATCGCTAGTACCTCTTGCCACAAGTTCCCAGAATCCTTTGCGGTTTTACCCCTGAATGACGTCACATTTTCAATCTTTATCCTGGTGGGCCGGTCTCTAGTCAAAATGCCCGGGCCGATTTTTTGTCCCAGTCCAGCCCTGAATAACAGTAACACACTAAACTTAAGCTTAAGATTGCAAACTTGTAAAGTGCATGATTAAAGATATTCTTCTGTTTCTATACTCCTCCCCTACATATCAGATGGTGGGGGAGGTTATAGCTATAGTGTTTACTGCAGGCACATTCCATGTGAAGACTCTGGTTTCCTTATTTGATAAGGAATGTTTACTTCCAGCCATTTAGGGGCATGCCTATGCTTTTATACGGTGTACCATTAAAGTGAAGCCATATACGGGTGAGCTGTAGAGTTAAAGAAGGGGCATACCATAACAGCAGATTTATGATTAAGGCCACCTTCCTGTGAGGAGGATGTGAGGAAGTGTTATGTCTCTTAGCTTGTTAAGCTTGTAACCCTCCATGCCTTTTATGAACAAATATCATCATGACAAATATCAACACGTGTAGTATCCACAGAAATCTCAGCTAAATACTAAGAGATAAGATAAGATAAGATAAAACTTTATTAATCCCTCGGGTGGGTTCCTCTGGGAAATTTGGTATAAATTCGGTGGTTGTAGATAAACCATATCTACAACCACCAAACACAACAAAAACAAGTGATGATTAAATGTGCAAAATTACAAAAATGCAGACTACACTCTTAAGTACTGTTACGTTCTAAGTCTAGGCAAGGATTGAACGAAACAAGAAAATGGCCCTCACTCATGCACCACCCAAGAAAGAGCAAAACAGGGGAGTTTTGACAGCAGGAGTAACTGAAACAAGCTGCCTGCTTGTTGACACATGCGCACAAGCAACTACCTCATGATAAGCAAAGGCTAGCTGCTTCCTATTTTTCTGTGTTATGCTTCACCCACAGTGACCCAGATAGCAAATTTCACACGTACACTACAAGATTGCACTTCTTCATATACACAAATAGCACTGATCATTTTCCGACACCCAATTTGTATCAGGAAATGGCCCCATGTTTCCCTGCACGCTAATTTACTGGTAATGAAAAATAAGAAAGATCTGAAATAATTAGTCTGGGGTTTTTTTTCTTTTGTTTTTTTGGTTTTCTTGTCACCTTATCGGGACTGTTGTGTCTGTTTGCTTTTCCAAGCCAGTGATATTACAGTTTACATCGAGTTGTAATATGTTGTTTGTCCAGAAACAACATATTACAAGAAAACTGTATCGGCATTATGGCTTTTTAGTCATTTGTATAAAATAAAGCTATAATAACTATATGTGTGGATAACATGCATGATAACAACTAATTTCACGCTTACAATGTGTTCTCACTAGACTGAACTCTTTTTTTACACAAATAGCATTCCCGCTATTGGGTGCTGTCAGTTTTGGTCAAGACGTAGTCACGTGTTGGCCTACTTCACACTAATTTACTGATAATGATCATCACCACATGCTATATACTGAGTGGTAAGATTGCAGAACTGTGAGTGGCTGCTTGCTCTTGTGATGACTGGTTGTGTGCTAGCATAGATAAGACGAGAGCAGGTTTAAAAAGCAGAAGCATTTCTGAACTTTTGTCAGAAAGTAAAACTTCATATCTCCTCGTACTACAACAGTTACGCTGACAATAAATAGCATCTATCTGATTGAACAGGTAAGAAAACTATTTTAATTATTACGCAAATGTTTGCAATTTTACCAGTTTACGGCCTTTTGTCATCTTTCTGTTAGTTTATTTATAAAGCAGAAGTGTTTCATATAAAATACATGAAAAACACAAATGCAAAAGCTGATAGGTGGATCTGCATAAATGGTTTGCTAGGTTTACTATTAAGAAACACAATGCCAGCATAAAGAATAAGACTGGAGATGAGGCCTGGATAAGTGAGAGAAAATGGATTGATGGATGGATAAACTTGCAAAATCATGTAGCTTACTAAATCGGCCTCGGCAGACAGTATGGGTGAAGTTAGCATAGACAGTGGTTCTAAACATAAGCCTCCAGCATACAGTAAACCCACATCTAATTGTTTTTTCTCCATTATTGGCTTCTCCTCAATGGCTCCCTGTTAAATCCAGGATCAAATTTAAAATCCTTTTTTAGGTTGCTTGAAGACGTTTCACCTCTCATCTGAGAAGCTTCTTCAGTTATACAGCCACTGGTGGAAAGTCCCAGACTTTAAGCCCTATGGGAGTGTTCCCAAGAGGGACATGGGCCCCCTATTGATCTCCTACCAAATCACCGGCGCCAAGGTGTGAAAATAGGTGTAGAACACAATCAGCCAAGGTTTTGGGTGAACCCACTGTGAAACCTAGTTCTACCCTATCATGCAATTTACTGAGGTCAAATCGCGCAGGATGGCAGTTGGCATCAAGGCGTCTGGGAAGGGACCTTCAAACTGGATCGTAGATGGCAGACATTTGGTGTATTAAGCCACCGCCTCTGTTCAAAGTTGGTTGTTCAGAGTGGACATAGATGGCTTCTTCCACTCCTCTTTCAAACCATCTGTTTTTTTTAGCAAATGAAAGCTTATGTTTGACAATGACTTATATTATCCTTATAATCAACAAAATGAAATAAAAGACTTTTATCCATCCTCTTCCACTTATCCTTGTCATTGTCACGAGTGGGGGGGGGGAAGGTAACGTGTCTAGCTTTTAAAGGCTAACTTCTCGTCTGTAACACAAGACAGCAAACATTTTGATACTGAATGGCTGTCGGTTAAAATGTTTACTGAACGTCTATTCATGTTTGAAAAACTGTTCCAAAGTGAAAGTGAAAATCTGGGTCAGATAAACCAAGTTTAGTTTATTTTCGTTGTGCTGACTTTTTACAGTTAGTCACAATAACTCATACTGTGTACTAGCTAGCATGACGGAGTTTCTATACAGCTGGGTGGGTGCTATGATGTTACTGATAGTGAAATTTATTAATAAGGTTAGTTAGTAGAGTTGCCAACCATCCCGTAAAAAACAGAATCGTCCGGCATTCAGAGAAAATATTACGCGTTTTGTATTGAGCTGAAATGGAACAGTTTGTCGCGGACCTCAGCTAGGATGAAAAAGACACAAAGCTGCGGTTATTCTGTTTCTTTACGCTGTCAACTGCCTCTTATTCTCTCATTCTCTCCCCCCTCTCTCTCCTGTTGCTACTTCAATCATGAAACTGATCAGTGATCAGCTGATCGGCTTTTCTCTCTTGTTTATTTATCGCCCACTTTGCGCCAGATAGAGGAAACCAGCGGATGTCGCGCTAAACAACAGCAGAGCATTTAAGTTTGATCAGCTGTTGTTAGAATTTATTTAATATTAATTTCTAGTATCAGCTGATGTTTGCTGGAGCCACAGCTGTAAACCTGCTGGTCATGATGTCGGTTTGTATATGTGGTGAGAGGGAAAAAATGAAGATGAAACCAGGAGATGTCCTTAATGAATCATCAGAGCTGTGATGGAGAAACAGGTTTACCTTTTAGGTGACATGAATGAGTTGAAGGGAAGTTATGAACTGTTTCTGAGAGACAAATAACACCAGGATCCTTTTTTATGTAGCTGACAGCTGGTAACTGTGCAGGGGCGGGTCTAGCAAAGTTTTGCCAGGGGCCAGGTAGGGCATTAACAGGGAAAGGGGGGCACAAAGAAATACTTTTCTTTCTTATTAAAATGTCTAGCTTTTATTAAATAATTATCTGAATCTTACAACCAAGGTTTTTTATCTGATGTAAAATGTATAGAAATCATACATACATCACACAATGAAAACAAATGCTGTCACAACAGCGTTTGTTTTCATTCAAAGGCTTTATGGCTTTTCCTATAGTACCTGGTGGGCCGGTCTCTAGGCAAAATGCCCGGGCCGATATTTTGTCCCAGTCCAGCCCTGCCAACTACACATCCAAGTCCTTGCCTCACAGTATTGATAATGCTGTGCTCTGTGACTAGGCCTCCATATGCATTGGTTCAGCAGTGTGCATTGTGATAACATGATCATTGTTGACCCTGGAAATTTTGCTTTGACTTAATGTGGCACATTACAATGCTAATATTACAATGTGATCTTAAAATGCTACAAAGATTTTTAAAAATACCACTCTTATGTAACTATCTGTGTTTTGGGTGCTTTCTTTCTTTCAGTACAAGTAAAATGAGCATAAACATTTTGACTGCCATCATCTTCACTGCATCCTTTTTCCCCTGGGCCATCAACATGACTGAATATCCAACATTCCCCTGTTACAACAAAAGCTCAGAATACAAATACAACAAATTTGTCAAAAATCACATCCTCCATGACAGCTTTGACAGAAATTCTCTAGATGCTTGGAAAAGGTAAGTTAAACACAAAAAAGCCTGAAACTGTGTGAAGTTCATTTGATTCTTCTATTTCTTTACACTTTGTTTGCTTACTCTGACTTACTCTCTACTATGTAATAATAATAATAATAATAATAACTATAATAGTAATGATGATGATGATGATGATTATTATTATAATTATTATTATTATTGTGCAATGGAATCTTGATTTATTCCACAGGTATTTGAAAAAGGAAGGCCTCTGGTGCCGAACTCCAGTGCAGTCCTTCATCAGTGACAGTGAGTGGAATGTCGACAGGATCTGCAGCAGTGATGGTCGTCGCTTGGCTGACTCAGTTACCTACGCAGGCAACTTGTGTATCAGCAACTCAGAAATGCTGATTTATGAGGTCACAATTAAGAAAACCAACAAGGGTCGTAAAATTAATGTTACTCGAGCCCAGAGGCCTGTCATTGTTGCGTGCGATAAGGTTGGAAACAAGTGCCTCCCAGTTCATTTTCAGAAATATGAGCACCAAACCCCAAGCAATATACCCTGCAATCCTGCAAGAATTGTCAGTATTGCAGTAGAATAGGTTTTCATTATCAAACGAATTAATCTGTTGCAAAAGTTTCAACTCATCATCTTTGAAGGGTGTTATACTATAATCACTATGTCCCTTGTTTGTTACATTCTAAAAATAACCCACGATAGGTGAAATCTGTGAAATAGTCACCTTTATTTTATTTTTACAAATATTATAGATGTTTTAAGGCTGTAAAACCCCTCACTATACTTTATACACTTTTCTCAGACAGGCATGAACATTTCTCTCCTTTTTAAACCTACATGTATAGTGAGTTCATTAGAACAAATTGAAGACTCTCTAGCACAATTCATAATTTATTCAAAGTCAAAAGTCAAAGTCAAAGTCATTCATTGCTGAAATAAAGATTAACACATCTTCCACGTTACCTTCAGAGTAAAAAAATGCATTGCTTAAATATCTTATGTCTTGCCTTCTATCAGTGTCTGTAAAATAAATATTTTATTATTTATTAAGAATGATTATTCATTAATAGCTCTCGACATTGAGGATACTTCAATTTATAGTTGTGAGTAAAGGAACCAGTCTTAATTTTTGCCTGCGATTGAGTTCTTATTCTATTAATTTTTCATTGTTTTCACACTCATTCACACATGTTCCAATTAAGAATGAACTATGAAAATGTTTCTGTGCTCAGCAAGCAGCTTCACACTGTATTTATTATGTTAAACAGATTTATCATTTCGGTAGTACTTTATATTATAGCTCGATGATAAAGTGTTAATCAAAGATTAACAAGGCAGAAGAACGTTTTGTATTATATTGTAAGCTTGTAATGTATTACCACTCAATTACCAAAGTAATAGCCAGGGGGCGTTATACTGCAGTTTTTTGTTTGCTCTCAATTTTGACACGCCCTATTAAAGACTAATGTCAGTTTGTACATGCTTTTTTCAAATTCTTCAACCCTTTAAGACCTACCATAGAACCAAGTCCGCCAGAGCTTATCTTTATATTTTTACATGCTGTAGTGCCATTTTTGGGAGCATTTCAAGTTGCTATACATCAATACAACCATTATAGCCCAAACTTTAATTATATGTATGCATTAAGTGTATAATAAATTGCAAAAATAAATAAATAAATAAACAACAAAAAAATTGAAAATCGTTTTTGGTTTTTTACATATATTTCTGGTTTAATTTAATTTCAGAGGTTTATTCCTCAAAACTGTAAATAGAAAAAAGTTGCACAAAATAGTTTCCAACGACAGGAAATTTATTTTGAGTGTTTTCATAGCTTTATTTTTGAGATACACCAATTTTTATATATTGCAGGAAAAACGAAGAAAAAAGTATTATAATGCAAATTTGCAAAGAAACAGCATGTGCATCAAAATAAACAATTTCCAGCAGTGCAATTTGAGTTCTAAGCATCCCAGAAACTATAAATAAAAGCATAAAATCAAACATGACTTTTAAAAACACCACAGATTTCTGCAAAAATGGCGACACTTCCGGTTTCGGGCAGGTAATGGCGGACATGCGATTCGCGCTGACGTCTGTTTCAGCTGTGCTGGCGTTTTTGCACTGATCATCACCTGCATTCATGTATATCGTTAGCTTCATAGCATAAGTGCCTAAGTCATTGACTTAGTCAAATGACTTAGGCAATTATGCTATGAAGCTAACGATATATCAATCTGCTTTTTAAATTTTATGTTTAGTTTTTTTTTAAGTGTTTGTCTTAAAGTGTGTTTTACAGTTTAAAGTTTAAGTACAGCAGCGATTTCCTAATATTGTAAATCTGCTCAACCTTTAAAAATATAAACTTTTCTGATTCTGATTCTGATAAGACATTAGTAAGGGTTTTCTCTTAGGCAGCAGTCCTCCTTCTCTCCTGGATCACCATCATTCTTTGGGTGCCTTGCAGTTTTGAAAATATCCAGCTGGAATAATCACACTTACTCAGGGCCGTATTGATGTGATGTTCTTCTGCTTCTCTGGCTGGGTCTGTGGGGATGGTGTTCGCTCTGTGTTGTAGCATCCTGATGATATCTCGTTTGTAGCATGGTTATTTTGTTGGCTTCAATCTAGTGGAAAATTTTCCAACTGGACATTTTCCAACTTGAAAATGTTCTACACAGTGTTGAGAATGTGTTTATAAAATACCAGTTAGGGAAAAACATGATAATAGCGGGAGTTTAAGACAAGCAAGGGAAGAACACTACTGTCAATAGGATTTCACAAGGAGGAGGTTGAACAAAATGTGCTCATTTGCAAAACATGCCGTAAAATTGTTGCCCCCAAACTATTGACGCAAAAGGTAGCAGTACAACAATTTTTTTCCACTGCAAAATGAGGCTGTTTTTAAACTCCACATGCGAACATCTTCCCACACACACCAAATTAAACATTAAATAAACCAGCTGTGATTCCTGTGAATGTTCTTTGTCAGTCGTTTTTATAGTCACTATCTAGAATTTTGTTTTCATTTTTTTGTAATTTAAGGTCATCAAATTTTTATTTTACTATTTTTATATGTTATATGCACAAAAGAGCACAGTTTTAATATCAGGTTGTTATTTTGTCTTACTAATTATTGCTTGATGTTCTTTGTTATTACAGTGATCTTTTGTTTGTTTAAGGTCTGGATCTAGTTCTAGAATTTCAATTCAGTTTGATTTTTTGTATTCTGGGCTCAAATTGAGAGGGAAGGATTCATGGCAGCTAACTAAAACTATTTGTTTATTTGCAATCTCTTGTTGAAGACCATGAAAATAATATATTACTTTTAGTCAATTTGTTTTTTTTTCTGTAATTGTACTTATATTTAATATTGTGGCATACTAGTTCTCATGGGTTGACAGAGCTGGTTCATTGCTATTTAATTTGATACATTTTGATATTTTTTTATAAAACAATTTCCTTCAAAAAACTGACAGTAGGGTGAAAACACAATAAAGTGTCTTTGTTCAGCAGGTCAATCAGTTAAATATAAACTGATATTTGGGGGCACTTAATTAAACGGAGTTATGACTTTCATTCAACCTTTATTACATTTGATATTTTTAGAATGTTTTTTACAGTTTTTTGTCACATTTACCATGAAGAAAAATTTGTCATTGAAGATGTTTGCCACATTTAATCAGATTTGATTGATTAATTGACAAATCAACAACATTAATATCCACTTCATGCATTCACCTGAAACGAAGCTCCATCAGTGTTTAGCCCATCTTCTCAGTTCAAAAAGCTAAAAAATGCAAAAAGGTCTGATAAGTTACCTCAGTGCAGGGCTCTAGCCTAACTTTTTGCCACAGTTGCACTGGTGCGCCTAACTTTTTTTCTTAGCTGCACCAGCACAAAAGTTAGCTGCACCCAAATTTTTCAACCCCATCGCTTAACACCGCAGCTGTACATGTTTACTTTAAAAAATGCTGTCCATACAGACAATATTGATTTATAAATGATTAACTAACAATCTTGTCAACACAAAGTTCTTTATTTGGAGCACATTTATAAAAGAAAGATACCTTACCATATTATTTGGACCATAAGGAGCACGCGATTATAAGGCGAATTAAGCAAAACCAAACAGTTGGGTTAAAATCAGGTGTTAGCCATTCAAGAATATTCCACTTCTTTGCTTTAATAATGTCCTTGGTTGCTTTGGTTGTATGTTTTGGGTCATTGTCAAGAAAGTGTTAAGAGAAAATGAGCAGTGTAATTAAATCTTTAAAGACGATGAAGAAAAGGATCATTCATAACACAGCCAGCCTTTTTTCATCCTGCCTTATGAGCAGCGTCACAAGTTGAACAAGTCTGTAAGTCATTTCTAGTAATCAAAACAACGTGTGGGTTTATTTATATAGGAGTGTTTCCGGAAACCTTCTGTACAGCATAAACTTAGGCATTATAATTCTTAAAACATCCTCATTCAGTTCACAGGAAAAGAAAAACACTTTGTAAAAGCTCTGTGACTTTGAGTGGATCTGGATGAAAATTTCTACTGCAAGACACCAACAAAAGAAAAACTAAACAAAAAGAAAGAAATACTTTATCTTAAAATGGTCACCTGCAATGGATACTGGAAGAATTTATTTAAAACACACACATTGAAAAATCCTTTCCTATTCCTCTGATCTTCAGCTGGACCCTATCATCTGAGCAAACTTAAACACATTGTATTCCAATCATTGTTTTCTTGTACTCACACTTACCATTGATTCAAATCCATGCTCATGTGTCCAGATTGATTTCTGTACTAGAAATGGATAAGTGACATATTCATTGGGAAACTACCAGGCTTTGTGACCTTCACTTCACCGGGCACTGACAGCGATTCAAACATCACCTGCAGAGGTGAAAATTTCACTCATTTTACCGTGTGTTTTTGGAAATTGAGTAATGTAAGTGCTGACAAAAATAGCACACACACACACAGATCTTTGTAGTTGAATATATTTATTTGTATTTAAACATTGTTCTTTTTTATGCATGAAACAGCATTTCAGACATCATAACAAATTTCAAACACTGACACAGGAGAAATATTTTGTAAAATACAATTTATACATCCAGGAGACTATAGACTATATTGAAATGATGAAAACAGCTCTAAAAATCATCCATTCAATTTTAATTTTGCTGTCATTATTTTTTTAATTATTTAATTGAATCAAAAGTAAAACCTGCCCAAGTTGACTATTGTGGAGCGACGGGACTTCTGGTAATTGTTTTTGGACGGATCCAAAATGGAAAACTGCTGTTAGAACCCCCTTTGTTAGATTAGATCAGAATTTAGACTGTTTTCTCATACAAAGATTTGTTGTTTCATAACTCAACTCTCCCTCTCTCTGTGAGAAAGGTGCCCAAACATGTGTGTTTTAATTGATTGATTCTGGCTGGGTTGCAGAGGATCAAATACTTATTTTACTCAATTAAATGCAAACTGATTTGTAACTTTTGCATAATGAGTCTTTTTTTTTCTTTATCTATTAAAATGAAACCGCCGTACTTATTAAATACAGTTCATTTCTTTGTAAGTAGAAACACACACACCCTTGTAAATTAGTATGCGGTGCTGTGAAGAACTGTTTTCTGTCTTCCTGGTTTCTTTTTTTTGTCTTTTTTCTTCTTTTTTTTTGCATATCTGTCACACTTACATGTT